TCCCTGGCTCAGACCCCCTCCGGGAGGCGGCAGAGCTGTGCACCGGGTCCCTGCCCCGGTTCCGTGTTAATTCTGTATTTATTTGAAAGTGGGACTGGAAGCGGCGTCAAAGTGAGGCTAAAGTAATTAGGGCTCCTGCTGATGGATCGCACGGGAGGGACGGAGGGTCATTTATTACCGAGTCACTTGCCGGAAAGGTTAGAGGCTGAGAAGTAATTATTTTTCCTCGCTCCCCCCACCCCATCCTCTTCGCAGCGGGGACCATGCCCCCCACTGCCCTGCCCCAGGGGCCTCAGAGCAGCTCACCCACCCCTCTCCTCTCTTGTTCCCTCCCTGGCTCAGGTCCCAGGAAGGGAACGCGCTAACTTGCTGTGGGCCCAGCCCTGTGCGGGCCAAGGGACCCCAAGGCAAAATAGCAGCGGCACAGCAGGTGCCAGGGCCCTGGGTGGGACACGCTGGCAGCCTGCAGGCTGGGGCGGGGGAGTGGGGCCGGAGAAGGGAATGACAGAGGCCAGGCTGTGGGGTGGGGGGACCTGTGACCCACCCACTCCCCTCACCTGATCCAAGTGGGTTTTCAAAAGCACAAGACTCCCCCCAAGCCTCCACACCTGCCCCAGCCCGGCCCAGCCCTGCACTGGCCTCCTGCTCCCTCCCGTGGCTGCACGGCTCACCTCTGGGCTGCCATGGCGATAGGAAGTGGCAGCAGCCAGGGGCTCAAACAGAAGACGGAATTTGCCTCCTAGAGCTGAGCCATCTGGGATGGATCTGGCTTCAGGCACGGCTTGATCCAGGGTTCACATGTTATCACCAGCATCCCGTCTGGACTCCGATTTTTCTGCAATGGCAGGTCTACCCTCAGGCTCCAGACAGTGCCTGAGGATTTCCATTTCCACCCAAGATAAAGTAACAAGGACTAGATTTCTCATCCCATCCAAAACAATTATTAAAAAAACAAAACAAATGTGATACGTCACATAAACAAACCGAGAGACAAAAATCACATAATCATATCAATCGATGCAGAAAAAGCATTTGACAAAATCCAACACCCTTTCTTGATAAAAACTCTCAGCAAAGTGGGAATAGAGGGATCTTACCTCAACATAATAAAAGCCATATATGACAAACCTACAGCCAACATCATACTCAGTGGGCAAAAACTAAATCCATTTCCCCTGCAAACAGGAACAAGACAGGGATGCCCACTCTCACCACTCCTGTTTGACATAGTACTGGAAGTATTAGCCATTACATTTAGACAAGAAGAAGAAATAAAAGGCATCCAAATTGGAAAAGAAGAAGTAAAACTGTCCTTATTCACAGATGACATGATATTGTACATAGAAAACCCCAAAGGCTCCATCAAAAAACTACTAGACCTAGTAAATGAATTTGGCAATGTAGTAGGATACAAAATTAACGCCCAGAAATCGATGGCATTTTTATACACCAATAATGAACTCACAGAAAGAGAAATGAAAAAAAAAATCCCATTTACCATCGCACCAAAAAACTTAAGATACGTAGGAGTAAACTTAACCAAGGAGATAAAGGACCTGTACTCAGAAAACTCCAGGACACTGAAAAAAGAGACAGAGGAAGACATAAACAAATGGAAGAACATCCCATGTTCATGGATTGGTAGAATCAACATCATTAAAATGTCCATACCACCCAAAGAAATCTATAGATTCAATGCAATACCTATTAAAATACCAATGGCATATTTCAAAGATCTAGAACAAACTCTCCAAAAATTCATCTGGAATAAAA